TTTGAATGTTAAAAGTTAATTTTAGTTTTGTGGTATTTTTTCACATTTAAAAAATAGTGGTATTTTTGGAACATTTGAAAATGGTGATGTTTTTGGAAACAAAACTTCAAAGTATGTATTTTTAAGAATTTCCCTTTTATAAATTGAAAAAAATTGACATAAAATTATTTTTTTCACTATTACTTCATAGTTAAGATATTATAATCAATATTAGAACTCAAGCAAAATAATTTTTGATTGTTAATTAACAAACACAATTTTAAAATAATACATGAAATATCAAACGATTGTAAATTTATACCCATAATTGTTATTTATTAAACATAAATTTATAAGTATATATTGTTAGGAGAATTTATTTATATTAGATAGATGATTTTTCCGTTTCTAGCTCTTGCACAATTTACCAATTTAACTTTTTAATGTTGAAATTACTTTTTTATTTTTCATCTAATTTAAATTCGAGTCCGGCCCAAAATATTTTTTTTTTGTCGTCATAGAGCTATTAAATGTGAAAGGGTAACCACAATTGTTTCAAACCGATAGGATAAACCAAACAAAACAGCAAATCCATAGAAAAAAAATCCGCTTCGAACCATTTGGAAATAATTAGGCAACATAGGATTGAGATCAACCGTCTCGAATCACACTTTGAGCTATTGCAACACCACCTTCACTATCTTTTGGTCCTCGAAAGTAACCTGCCAAGTCTCTCTAGTTCCTCAATAAGCTTATCAATGTTCATTTCTAGAGGAGGCCAATCATGAGGTTTGTTTAGAGCTTTAACTAATCCCCTTGTATCTGCTGTAATGATAACATTAGAGAAATGCAAGCTCTTCATGCTCTCGACAACCCACCAACTTTGTATCTCCGCATCACATTTCGACATAATAGCACCAAAAGATCGTCGGATATGCTCCAGGGTTCTGCCACAGTAGTCCTTAACCACCCAAGACACATCCGAAACGTTGGCAGACCAACACCACATTGCATTTCACAAAGCCAAAACAAGGCATTTCCCAAGGCATTTCATAAGTGTTATCTTCACTATTTTCCTTTGCCATATGTTTATTCGCCTTGCCCAACCAATTACGTGGATGAAGCTTTCAAAATGAGGAACTTGTTGTGATGTGTGCTAGCT